CCCCCCGGGGCCCCCGGCGGGCTCATGTTCAGCGGCTGTCGCCCAGCCCCCCCAGGCCCTTTCCCGCCGGGCAGCTCCCAGCCGCTCCTCCCCACACCTGCAGCGGTGCCTGGGGTTGCTGTGCCCCCAGTGCAGGACCCGGCCCTGAGCCTTGCTGCCCCTCACCCAGTGCCTGGGCCCATCGCCCCAGCCTGGCCAGGGCCCTCCGTGGATGGCCCCCAGTGCCCGCTGCTAATATCCGTCTGCCACAGGCAGAGCCCGGCTACGGGAGGGAAGGTTCCCCTGCATGCCATGCCGTGCCGGGAGCCCCAAGCCGATTTCAGAACAGACACGCCCACCCCACAGCCACCACCCCGAACCGGCTCATCCCAGGAGCCACAGCCCACCTCGGGCAGATGCCGCCTGGAAGTCAGTAGCAAGCCACAGCAAGCAGCTCCCACCGCAAGTCACTGCTGCTAGCACTCCGCTGGCTCTGACAAGGGTAACTTTTCAAGATCTCTGCTGCACAGATGGAAAAAAACCCAATGGCTTCTTAAAAACCCATCAGTACAGCGGCACAGGCTGGTCCTTTACGCGGCAGCTTGTTCAAGCGCAGTTTGGCTGTGCTCTGCAGCGCTCCAGTCCTACAGTAGCAGCACCCAGATTGTAAGGTTAAGTGGTGCTCTTCCTAAGCCTTCCCTCTCCCAGTCCCCACAGCGCTGCTCCCCCCGCAGTAACCCTGCAGCCTGGCAGGCTTTTTTCCAGGAAAAGTGCCATTATTGCCTGCGAGACACAGCCCTTCAGAGGCTGGGGGAGGACACTCACAGATAAGGGCTAGATAGAGGCACTCAGATACCCCTCAGGGGAGCACAACGTAAGCCTGGACACCAGGGCTGTGGCTCTTTTCAAGAGCACATGCGGCCTTGGTGCTCCCCCGAGCGAAGGGCCCCGGCGAGGCTGAGGGCTCTGCGCAGACACTCCTGCCTGGGGTCAAGGCTGGAGGAACACACCTCACCTTTTTGCTTTTTTACAGGCACATCGTCATCTTCCGACAGGGAATCGGATGACGTATGAGGCGGCGTTTTAACTCCACAACCCTTCGCGTGGAGGGCTTTTGTGACATCGTCTAAGTCATCAGAGTCTTTGGGGGGCCGATAGTTGGCCACATGGTCCACTCGAATCGTCCTTCCTTTGATCTACAGGAGGAGTCGTGCTGTTAGCCACGGCACAGAGCAGTGGGCCGTGGGCCACCAGCGACCCGTGCTGCCAGGGCTCCCGCTCGGCATGAAGCAGCGCCTTGGGAGCCGCGGCGGGCAGGCGGGACCGCGTCCCAGGCTGCGCCGCTCACCTTGATCCCATTGAAGTTGTCGACGGCGAGGATGGTGCTCCTCTGGTCCTCATAGCACAGAAAGCAAAAGCCTTTGGACTTCCCAGTCTTCTTATCCCGCACCAGGTTAATGTTGACGACCTCCCCGTACCTGCAACACACCCTTAGCACCCGGGGCGGCGGCGGGGGCGCGGCGGGCCCGGGGGCTGCGGCACTTACTGCGAGAACACGCAGATGACATCTCCCTCCGTCAGCTCGTAGTGCAGCCCGCC